TTTTTTGTGTCATTTACGGCAACCTCCAAAAAGAGAAGCATTTTTATTTATTTATTTATGTTATTTTTATTTTTTATTGCAAGACGTAATACGGGATGCGGTTCTGATAAAGTCTTGGCGTGCAACTGGACTGGCTTCCGACAAGGGCAGCGAGAAGGATTAGTACAATAGAGGGAAGTGGTCAACAAATTTCAACGCAATCATCTGAATATACAATTGGTAGGTCTATGCTCTGACTAGAATCAGTGAGCCGTGAGAATTAGAAGTTGCAGTCTACAGTGGTGGACGATTTTAAGAGCCAGGGTTGCTCATACGCCGATGTGGTCCGCTCTCGGTGGTTCAGTTCTTGTTCTGTGTGGTTGGGTGTAGAGTTCACATGTACGATATTCTAATCTAGATCCATCATCATCTAGTGGAATTATAACAATAGAAGTAAATTGTCAATACATTTGGTGCTATGCATTGCGGCCAAGTACTCACGTAATCTGATAAATGGATGGTCTTTCCCACGCTCAATAGCTGCTGCGATTAGCGTCAAGGTTGATTCTAGAAGTTCAAGTCATACAATTGATTGAGATTAGAACAAGTTCTAGAGCCTTCAAAAACGATTATGTGAAAAGGATTCATGATCAAGTCGATTAGTGCATCCACTTGGAGCTTGGATCAGTCTTGAGCATTAGAATATCGTTAGGTTGCAATCTAGGCTCCTTTTGCAAGAAATTTGTTGTCCCACTTCCAAGGCTGGAATCAAAACTTTAGACAATTCTGTTCTTGCGTGTCAGAAGTCATAAGGAGGTATTTGAGTGGAAGCTCAAAACAATGAAGTGGTGTCATTAGAGCTCAAATTCCAATTCTAAGCAACTGGCATGGATTCCATTGCTATACTTGTGCCTATCATAGAGTAATTAACCTTTTCCATACTAAGAGCTCAGCAACTTATCTTCTACGCATAAGAACCTCCATTAATATTTATACTAGCTTGGTTCAAGAGGTGATCTGCATAAGAGTGACACTCTTCTCAGGACATTACAACCTACTCACGATTGCGAAATATTGAGGAATGCGTCTGAGGCAAAGGAATTTGCAACAAAGCCCTCCTACTAGCTTCAAGAGTGTGGTCCGTGATATTGGAGGCTGAACGAGTAAGGAAGCTTAAATTGGAAAGGTGCACCCTCATTATAAGGAACATTGGATTAATACAATTAGGTTAAAATGCCATTAGGTTGAAGGTTTGTATGGATGAATTATATTGGATGATTTTTTAAAGATGAATTTTTAAGCATGGATGAAATAAGTGGATAAAATATTATTAAAGGATGAATTTTTATTAATGATTTTTTTAATAGACGAATTTTAATTAAAATTAAAAAATACTAATAATAAAGAAATAAAAAAATGAATAGAAAGAAATAAAATTATAGCATTAAATAGTTGAATTATTTATTATAATAAAGGTGAATTAATTGTAGAATTTTGGCTTGATTGCTTAGATTATTTAAAAGGAATTAAGAGTAATTTGAGTAGATTTTGATTCATAGCTAAAATTACTATAATTCACAAATTAATTTATTTATTGTGAACTAGAATAAAATTCTAACTAATGGAGGTTTATTTTAGCTCACACTATTATAAGGTCATTGTTTGAAATGATGTATCTTAGAAAGTCAACTTAAGTACTATAAAATACACAGTTTTCCATCTTAGCTTATAATCCTTTATCTCTTAGTTTTTGTAATATACAAAAAATATGAAGTTTATATTCTTCTATATTCTTAAAGTAGATTAAAATTTCATATAGGTAATAAATGACAAAGTCATGAAGAAACTCATGAAAGACATCATTTATTAGATGTTAAAAAATAGTTGGTACATTTATGAGTCTTAAAGATATAATATTATCTTTGAAATATTCATACCTAGGTTGTATATTCTTTGTAGATCTATTTTTATATAGATCATTGCTTAATTCAATTAATCAAAAAGTCTTGAAATTGAAGATAGAGGGTACCTATTTTTATTAGTGATCTTATTGAATCCTTGACAATCCTCACATCTTTTTTCTTTACAAATAAGATAGAAGCCCTTATTGAAAATTTTAAATGGTGTATGAAGTTCTTAGCCAAATTTTTGTCAATATTTTCTTTGAGTGCAGCTAATTCTTTTTGTGATAAATTATGCATTGGTTTGAATGGTGGTTGAGCTCTTTCTTGGTGATCAATAGAACAGTCATAAGAATAATATTTTGGAAGAATATCTGCATTTTTTTCTCAAAAAAATCTTAATAATCTTGATATTGGCTTAAATTATCACATAAAATATTTTTTCTATCAAAAATAAATGTAGCATATATAGTAAAAGCTAATCCTTCTTTTGCAACATGCATAAAAGCTCTTTTATCTATTAATAAGGATTTGGATGCATTGGACTTTTGGATTTTTATTTAGCTAACAAAATCCTAGGCTAAACTATGAAAAAAATTAAAGTTACAAGAAATCTACTCTATTTGAGGGTTATACTATTTAGCCACAATAATCCCAAAATAACTAAGTTAAAAAGAGATCTAATCACATAAAATATTACTAAGCTATTGGAAGCTAAATTTTTTGATTCACAATATAGTTAAAAATATATATATATATTAGAATAAAACAATGGTATGTAGGATAAATTATCAAAGAAAAGACTCATTTAGGTATTAAGAGCCAAGTACAATTATAATGGTGGATGAAACGATTGTGGTTTGAAATTAGATTAAATAGGGATAGTGATGTCATATTGTTAAAGGGATGAAAAAAAATAATAGAAAATAAATTATTTATATCTTTAGAATTAAAAAATATATTAAAAATAGTAAAAAAATTAAACATACTATTTTAAAAAAAATAGAGTAAGAAAGACTTCTGAAAGGATCTCTAAAAATCTTCCATAAGGATGTATCAAGGACTTAAAAAACAAACAAACAAACCAACGACCTACTTTGCCAGACCGATTTGGATTGCACAAGTTTTTGTCTATACAGTTTTGAACCAGACAGATTATGTTTATAGTATTTGACATATTATTGGATTAGGTAGCAATTTGGATCAAGTTTGTATAGAAGATCAAATTGTGATTTAGTTTTATAGCATGAATGAAAGACTCTAAGTAAAAGTAGATAAGAATTGTAGCATGAAGATGTATTTTTATCATGGAGCAATGGAATAGATCTAGGTCAGTATAGAAGGTTGTTGATTAGGAAAAAGAGGAGGTATAAATTCTAAAGGAGTTCAAGCTGATTAAAAGAGAGGCAATGGTAATATTGCATTAGGCTAGTATTGACAAATATAAGTTATATATTTGTTTTAAAAGAGGCGGCTAAGTGAAGGTGTTCCTATCAAAAGAAATCTTAGTGATGGTAATGCGGAGAAATCTCATAGTGATGAAGGCAGGATTTGGCTTTGGAATTGACAACAATAGTAGATTGGCCATGATTTGCCATGCTATTGTGAGATAGTAATTGATTTCTAGTGGTTGTTAGACAACAAATTTGAAAGAGTTCTTATGCATATTTTTTGGTGTGATAATAAGCAATTGTGGTATTGTGATCAATATTTTATTGCAAGACGTCCCGTATTATGTCAAGGTGGATAGTCTACAACCTTCAAAATACAACAATAAAAGTGAAGTAATTAGTTCACTTCTAAAAAAAATAAGAACATTAAGTTAGCATTCTTATCAAACTATGAAGGATAAAAATCTTGAAGGGAGAAATCCTCAATACATCATCAATACAAATACATGTAAAGTCAAAAGTGAGTATATAAAGCTTTTATGATACTTTTTTAGAAGATATTATGTAATTAATCTACTTTTACCTACTTCTATTTAAACTTATAGGTAATTATTGGAATAAATATATATTTTCGTGATATTGATCAATTATCACCAATATTACTTATTTTAATATTATTTAGAGCCAAAATTGTAGACTTTGCAAATTTTACTTTGCTCCTTCATGTCTCTTTGAGTATTGCAAAAAAATTGTGTCCTTTTTTTTTGTCAAACTGCAAACCACACTTTAAGTTGCAAATTCTTGGAGTTGATTAGGTAGTAGCAATGTTTAGAACAATACTTATATTTTTTGAGAAGAATCTAACTTATATTGCTAATACAATGCATCATTAAATAAGTTAATGATGATAATGGTGGTAGTTATGGTGGAAGATGTATTCAACATAATCTTTTTTTAACAAATTGGTAACTAAAATCATTAACACCTTAAAGTCAAAAAAAAAAAAAAAAAAAAAAAAAAATCATTGCTAGGGTTTTATGACTTTCTACTGCCATGGATATTAGAAATGCAAATTTGTAATAGAATCAATCTCTAATTCTCAAATAATTGAATTCTTAAAAACAATCTTTCCCAAATCACTACATGTATTACAATCCATGTTATCATTGGACCACCTTGAACACATGCACATTACTCTATAAGATCCATTATAAGTTGGATACTACCTTCTAATGATCGTCAATTTTTCTTCTTCAAGATGGACTTCACCAATTAGGCATTAGCAACAAGTAAAGCACTCTACACTACCTGGATCAATATTTTTGGACCCATCCTCACATTCGGGACTCAATCTAATATATAAAACAAAAATTGGTTCCCTCACCTCCTTTAGAAGATTGTCCCTACTAATTACACTCCAAAATTGAGCACACTACCACGTTTGTAAGTTCCAACAAATGCTCTAAGCTTTTATTCAGACCTCTTTCTAACTCAAGATTCTTCAAAAAATACAAGTGTTATTCTAAAAATTGCTACGAGCTTGGCCCTCTAAGAATTTCTAATATAAAGCATGGTTTGCAATTCAACCAAAGCAAAGGGGCCAAAAAACTTTGCAATACTCAAAAAGCCATAAAGAAGAGATGAAAAATTTGCTTAATTAGCAATTTGGGCCCCAAACATCAACAAAATAAAAAAAAATATTAGTGATAACTTATTAGTAATGAAGATATATTAGCTGCTTCTACAAATCAAAGGGATATATTTGCTATTATCAAGAATGCATGGGTTTTCTTGATATTTCAACATATTTGAGGAGCATATATAATATTTTTCCAAAAATATACATTAGAAAGTTCTGTTGATAAAGATATAGAGATTAAAAGTATTAAATTTCTTCTAAAGTAGCAAAGGGAAAGTGTATATTAACAAAGATTCATGGATCAATAAAATAAAGTTTGAGCTACAGTGACTAAATAGAAACAATTAAAACAATCCAAGTCAATGATGGAATAACCCAAGAATCCAGGAGGGTAGACCACCCCAGAATGGACATTGAACGTACTTTTTAAATGTCCTTTGTGACGGAAAACAGACGTGTGCCCACCAATGGCATGGCTCCTTGCCGCAGTGACGCCATGCAGGCCGCTGTGTGCCAATTATGGGCGCCCAAAAGGGGCCAGGAGAGGATCTGGGCCAACCACGGCGCCTCCAGCAGCGTCGTCACGCACACCGACAGGGGATGGGACACACACACACACACACACAACTAACACGACACAATACCACCACAAAACAAGCAACCCAAGCACCAACTAACCAACCTCCCTTCCTCACTTCCTCCTCTTCAGTCCTACTAGTTCAAGGCGAAGTCGCGAATTGTCCAGAACTACTGAGGCTGGGCGAGCTCTCAATATTCCCAGTTCTCTTCTTCTTCTTCTTCTTCTTCTCCCGCTCTTTGTCTCGACCGACGGTACGCATTCTCGATCGCCTGTTCGCGTTGTGCTGCATTGCATTCCAGTGTTCCGGGCAGCGCAAGCCCTTGCTGTGCATTTGTAGGTCAGGTCTGTGTAGCTTGCAATTGCTCGGTTCTGAAGAGGCCGTTTTTTCCGTTCGGGATTCGTTTTGTTAGGTTCTTCTTTCGTTTCGTTTCGTTTCGTTTCTTTTGCTTTGGTGGAGTGCGGCGCGATGGGGCGCCACTTGCTGCTGGTGCTGGGCCTGGTTCTCGCGGCCGGCGTGGTGGGTAGCTTCGGTGCTGCGGAGGAGGCGGCGAAGCTGGGCACCGTGATCGGAATTGACCTGGGCACGACGTACTCGTGCGTCGGGGTGTACAAGAACGGTCACGTAGAGATAATCGCCAACGACCAGGGCAACCGCATCACTCCGTCGTGGGTGGCGTTCACCGACAGCGAGAGGCTGATCGGCGAGGCTGCGAAGAACCAGGCCGCCGTGAATCCCGAGCGCACGGTGTTCGACGTGAAGCGGTTGATCGGGCGGAAGTTCGAGGACAAGGAGGTGCAGAAGGACATCAAGCTGTTCCCGTACAAGATCATCAACAAGGACGGGAAGCCGCACATTCAGGTGCAGGTGAAGGATGACGAGGCGAAGGTGTTCACGCCCGAGGAGATCAGCGCCATGGTACTGCTGAAGATGAAGGAGACCGCGGAGGCGTACCTGGGGAAGAAGATCAAGGACGCCGTGGTGACGGTGCCCGCGTACTTCAACGACGCGCAGCGACAGGCGACGAAGGACGCCGGGGTGATCGCGGGGCTGAACGTGGCCCGCATCATCAACGAGCCGACCGCGGCCGCCATCGCGTACGGGCTGGACAAGAAGGGCGGGGAGAAGAACATTTTGGTGTTCGATTTGGGCGGCGGCACGTTCGACGTGAGCGTGCTGACCATCGACAATGGCGTGTTCGAGGTGCTGTCGACGAACAGCGACACGCACCTGGGAGGGGAGGACTTCGACCAGCGCATCATGGAGTACTTCATCAAGCTGATCAAGAAGAAGTACAACCGGGACATCGGCAATGACAAGAAGGCGATCGGGAAGCTGAGGAGGGAGGCGGAGAGAGCGAAGAGGGCCCTGAGCAACCAGAACCAGATCCGCGTGGAGATCGAGTCGCTGTTCGACGGCGTGGACTTTTCGGAGCCCCTGACCCGGGCGAGGTTCGAGGAGCTGAACAACGATCTGTTCAGGAAGACGATGGGGCCCGTGAAGAAGGCGATGGATGATGCCGGGCTGAAGAAGACGGACATCGACGAGGTCGTGCTGGTGGGAGGCAGCACCCGGATTCCGAAGGTACAGCAGCTGTTGAAGGACTACTTCGACGGCAAGGAGCCGAACAAGGGCGTGAACCCGGACGAGGCGGTGGCGTACGGGGCGGCGGTGCAGGGAGGGATCCTGAGCGGGGAGGGAGGCCAGGAGACGAAGGACGTAATTTTGCTGGACGTGACGCCGCTGACGCTGGGAATCGAGACGGCGGGGGGAGTGATGACGAAGCTGATCCCCAGGAACACAATGATCCCGACGAAGAAGTCGCAGGTGTTCACGACGTATCAGGACCAGCAGACGACGGTGTCGATCCTGGTGTTCGAGGGCGAGCGCAGTCTGACGAAGGATTGCCGCGAGCTGGGGAGGTTCGAGCTGACGGGGGTCCCCGGGGCTCCGAGGGGCGTCCCCCAGATCGAAGTGACCTTCGAGGTCGACGCGAATGGGATTCTGAACGTGAAGGCGGAGGACAAGGGTACGGGGAAGTCGGAGAAGATCGTGATTACGAACGACAAGGGTCGGCTGAGCCAGGAGGACATCGACCGGATGGTAAAGGAAGCGGAGGAGTTCGCAGAGGAGGACAAGAAGATGAAGGAGAGGATCGACGCGCGGAACAGCCTGGAAACGTACGTGTACAACATGAAGAATCAGGTGGGCGACAAGCTGGGGGAGAAGATGTCTGTAGAGGACAAGGAGACGATCGAGACGGCGACGAAGGAGGCGTTGGAGTGGTTGGACGAGAACCAGAGCGCGGAGAAGGAGGATTTCGCGGAGAAGTTGAAGGAGGTGGAGGGGATATGTAACCCGATCGTGTCGAAGGTGTACCAGGCGGCGGGCGGAGCCGGCAAGGGGGGCGCAGTTGAGGAGGGGGAGAGCGACAACGAGAGCCACGAGGATCTGTAATGGAGGCAGGGGCGGATGTTGACCGATGGGGTTGTCGTTCGCAATTGGCGTGCGCGTGGTGGCGTTGAGAAGGAGAGGTAGGGGGTGCGATCGCAGGGCCGCGTGTGTAGAACTGGGTGGCAGAAGTGCGGAGGGGTGCCGTGCAACGAGGGCGCGAGGAGTCCTTGCGACGGCGTGGTGCAATATGAGTGCCGTAATCCGGCGCAGCGAGCGCCGAGAGTCGATGCTTAGGAGCAGCAGAGGTAGCAGCTGTTGCAGGAGACGAGATTGGGATATCGTAGGAAGAGAAAATGGCTGTGCGGGAGCTTTGTAGGATTGAGGTAGTTTTTAGTTTCTTCGGCCTGGGCGGGCGTTACCTACAGTTGATTGGGTGATACGTGGATGATGTGATGCATGCGAGACTAATGTAAAGCCAGCATCGCTTCATTTGGTGATGCATTCACGGGTGGTGGTGTGTGGGAATGCGCGTGTTGTGGTTGCTGATCTTGCGTGGTGGTTGTGTTGCGTTGGTGCGGGTAGGGTAGGTGGCGCTGTTTGGCGATGGTTGTGTGCGTGGCAGTGGCGTAGTTTTGAGGAGGTGGATGATTGTGAGGAGGGCAGTGGGTGGTGTGCCGCATGGCTGTTATGCTCTGGGGCATTGCTCGTCTTCTTGAGATCAGGGCTTATGCTGTAGGCTCGGGTTGTGCGGAGGCAGGGAGGTGTTGTGAGAGTATGTTCGGAGGTACACTGAATTGGCGTGGGTCTGGTGGAAGTCTGAGTGGGCATGTAGGAGTGCATGGTGATGGATGGTGGCATGCGGATCATGTCGGCGTGGAGTCTGGTGCAGTGTGGGGAGTTGTTCTAGGTGCATGGAGGGGCAGCGATTTGGACGATGTCGATGCTCTTGTGTGCTTGGAGTGTGATTTGCTGATGTGGCCATTTCCACAGAGGTGTGTGCGCTTCGCAGGGCGTGGATGGTGTGGATTGTGTGGGCAGGAGAGTGGAGATGGTCGTGAAGAATGGCCCGACTTTTGGACGTGGGTAGAATTGTACAGTGGTAGCAGAGTTTGTGTTTTTTTGACGCAAATAAAGACTAACTTTATTGCAGAGGGTTAGTGTACACTGCCCCAGCCATGTCCGACCAGGCGAATTAAGCTACGACCTACTGCTAGACACGAAATTACAACTGGGGCCAACCAGCTTCCAGTCTGGTTTACTGTGCTGCCATGAAGCCAGGATGTTTTTCTTACACCACTGTTGGTGAAACTTCTGGGCCCACTCCCCCGCCCTCGGTGGTGTGTTGCGCATTCGATGTTGAGTTTTAAACCAGTCATTTCTACCATAGTCGATGACGTGCAACCATATTGTTTGGTACAGTTTCTCTTCCGCCCAGTGCACACCATTGAATGCGGCGTCATTCCTCTCAATCCATATAGTCCATATAATTACTCCTCGCAACAAGAGCCAGAATCTGCTTTTTGTTTTGAACCTCCTCAGGATTCTGTATGCAAAAAGGCAGTGTTTCCATGAGGGGTGAAACTGCGTGGGATTTGACAGTTGATCGATCTCATTGCCCATACCGCAGTTCCTTTCTCCACTGCCCTCACGTTGTTCTTCATTTGTTGTATTTTTATTTATCATCCTACGCTGCCTTCCCTCTCGACCTGTGCTTGCCATCAACTGTAGTATATAGACCCCCCTCTTCCACGCTTTTCCTGCGGAGGAACATTCCCAAAATCGATGAAGAGCATATTTCCTGGTACCCGTCAAGCACACGGGGCAGCATTGGTCGACATTGTTGTCTATTCTACCCCTCCATTCGTTCACAGCCACTGCCCGATGCCATGTCAGCGAGAGCAGTCCCGCCTCTTTCCGCACCTTCTCTTTATTCCACATGTTCGCCTGTTTGAGCTTAAAATGTGTGGGTAACACGCCTTCCCACTTCTGAGTTACCACATTTCGAGTTGTACGTTTCTCCTGTAGCAGGGACCGGTCTAATTTGCCGTGTAGTGCATGAAGGGAATTTGACCTAGCCACTGAAAACGGCAGAGGTCCCATATTAAGCGATCTATTCGGTCATAATAAAGGAGGGACGTCTTTTTTCCTAACGCATGTTGCAGTGTAACAACTCTGATTCTCCTAAGAATGCCCACAGCATACATCGCTCCATGCTCTGGCCTCCCCTCTCTTTGATTCTGAAGTATTCTTGTTTCCCTCGGTGTTTCCGTAAGACTATTTGTCTTGCCTTCTACCGCAAATATTCTAACCTCATGGGAGATCCAATGTTCTATTAATTGTGGGTCGGTCTGGTAATTTTGACTGGTTTGCCACACCAACGTGGGCAGCAGTACCTCTTCGGAGGGGAAGAGCCCCACCCATTCTCCCTCACTCAGTTGAGGTGCTGGGTTTGTTAGGAACTGGCACCATTATTGACGAAGCAAAACTGTCAGGGCCGACCATGCGCCTTCCTCATCTGGTCTTAACTGAAAGCGGGTTTGGGCTTCTGCAAAGCTCAGAAGATTACCCTGCTCCCATATATCCTTGTATGTTTGTAATACATTTTTTTGTATTTTCGCGGAGGTTTTTGAAATCAAGCGCGGCTAGGAGTTACTCGAATAGGATGATTCTACAATATTGATTGTCTTGATAATTGTTGGATGGTTTTCAGTATGATTCTGATGATACATGATGATTTAGCGGCTGGTTTTGTGCCCAGTGACGAAGGGCAATTCGCTTCTCGTGTTGAAATGGTGGATTTGTTCCGATTTAGTTGAAGAGCACAATGTGGATTTAACCGAGACCAGGGCATGGGTTGTTTGGTTGGTCGTGCTTGGATTTTTTTCTGTGGTGATGTCCAGTTAGAGTTACTGTGGATTTTGTTTGCAACGAGATTGTTCGATTGTGGTTGCTGAAGGGAGCTATCCGTTGCAGATTTTTACTACAAGGTGGGTTCCGCCTGCACAAGGTCGTGTATCCAACCCCAACGACAGTGTCTAGTAGAGTGCATTTTGTGAGTGCATTTTGTTACTAATTTGATTTATGTTTTTGAACATCTTGATTTTGGAATGATAGTGGATTTGAGTCGTTTAGTTAAAGTTGACATCTACTCCTATAGTTCATGTCGTCTTCTTGGTGAATTTGGAACATAGATATATTTGGTTGTGGTTAGAGGGATCTTTATCTATGTTATAAGTGTTGTGTAAGTTGGATCCTTTATTCCAATTTTGAATGATGACTTAATGCAAATTTTTGTTAGTTTTATGATGGCTTGGATCTGATGTTTGAGCTTGGAACTTCAAGGTAACTATTTTGCACATCATTCATAAAGGACTATGACAATCAAATATTGTAATTATTATGTCGAATTTTGTGTCTGGTCAGATTTCACTTCACTCTTTGCAATGAAAAATTTTAAACTTTGCTATAGTCCGTTTTCAACATTCAAATTTTGTTCATAATTCAAAAACCATGATAATTTTGAGTTCTCATTTTGAGACTCACCATAGGTTGCATTACTTGATATGTTCTCAATATAATATAAAACTTGCCTATCTATCAATTTAGAAGCCTTTTACAAGCAAATATGCTCCTCTACAAAGCTTTGGATTACTTTATATTGAATCTGAATCAACAAATTACATCATCTAAAATTACTTGATGATAATGTCAACTATTTATCAAATTAAACTATGCTTTGTTTTCAAAGAAATCAATTTATACATGTCTAAATTTCCACTTTGGTTTTGTTTTGACAAACCAATTTTTAAATGGTTTTGTGACTATTTTTATTTTTTTCTTAAATCTTTGTCTATGTCCCTAGAGTTCTTGATTTAGTTTCTATGTGTGTGTGTATATATATATATATATATATATATATATGTATATACATTTATACACACATATTAATATTTGAAATCCTTGCTTTTCTTTATGAATAACTTATTAATCTATCAATTTATTTTATAGTTTTTTTCTTAAAATTTTAAATGGTATTAAATTTAGTATATTAGGTGTGATTCAAAAACAAAATAATTAATTTTTATAAAAACTAAGATATTCAATTTACCAATTTTGTTATATAATGTGATATCAGCTTATTTACATACTTTTATTTTTTAAAAATGTTGATTCATTTCTTACAAAAAATACTTAAAATCTTATAAAATTATATTTCTTAATTTATTATTTCTAAATATTTAAATTTATAAGAAAATAATTTTTTTATTTGCACATTAAAATACCATTCCAATTATTTTACATTTATGTAATATAAAATAAATCTGTGAATACAATAATTTTGATATATTTTTTATTTAGTAGCCTATATATATATATATATATATATATATGTATATGTGTGTGTGTGTGTGTGTGTAGGTTTCTTTGTATACATAGCCATGGAATATGGTACAATAATATTTCAATTTTTCAATTGACTTTCATTGGTTATGTTGTAAGATTAATATACATTAGATTCAACATTTCAAAAACCTTGTTTGTTCAATATCATATTTTGTACATAGTTATTAGCTTGTCTATTATCCTTCTTAAAATCTATTGTATTACAAATTCTATTATATTTATTACCATATTTTATGTTCTAATTAAATATTTATTTTTTAATTAAATTATATATTTGTTAAATGGCTTTAGTAGTAATATACAAAATTTTGAATCAATCTTCGTTTTGAAAATTATTGAAACATCTTATTATTTTTTGAAATAATTTTTATGATAAAAATAAAAAATATTCAAATTCAATATTTGGTTTAAGGTAATTTTTCATAGTAAATAACTTATATTTAAATATTTTTTATACTCTATTTTTTATTTTATTCTATTTCATCAAATATTATTATTTATAATAATATTTACTAAAAAAATATTATTTCAAATAAAGGCTACTTGCGTGAATATTTTGCATCTATAAGCTATTTCTATAAAGATTTTGAAGGTTGGACGAACATTTTTAATATCTTAATGTTATTTCTTATAATTTACATGATTTAAATCTTTAAAAAATAACTTTTTTTAATAATTCTATTAAGAGAAAAAATTTTAAAAAGTATGGATTATCCTCTTTAAAACTGATATTTTTTATTTCTTTATTTAGGTATAAAAAATTACTTGATATTATATTTTTAGAAAAAATAATTAAATTATAGAATTTTATGATATAAATATAAATATAATAAAATATATATATTTTTAAAATCAAACTTTTTTACTACTTCAACCAAAAGCAAGAGTATCTATTGGAGAAGACATAGAGATGTCAAGAGTTCCTTTAAAAAATTCTATCAAATCAAGCAATTTATAGAAACACAATTGCATCTATTAAAGAACCAAAAGTTGCCCTTTCAGAAAAATTTTATATTATTAGATCTAATTTCAAATTTAATAGCTAAATATTTAATTACTAAAAATAAATTTTTATTAAGCTCTAAATTCATTTTTATATAA